GGTTAATATGTGTAGGCTGTAGTGGGGTAGCCCATAAGGGGTATAACCCAATTAGGGTTAGTACTTGTACCACCTTTCTCTTCAATGCATTCATCCTCACTTAGTCTTCTGACACCCGCCACTGTTCCCATCATGCCCAGACCACCCGGCTTGGTTGGTAACCCGCAACCCGATCCTACGCTCTGCCATTTCCCAACCTCGGCATCAGGTATGAGTGGCATCTCTTCGCGAGTGCGTTAGCGTTGCCGAAAGGCCTTCGCTATTTAAACATTAGCTCATACCTTCACTCATTGTACTGTTTTGCTTCGATAGTGCAATCTCTGTTCTCTCTCAATTGCACTCATAACGAAAAGACACTATTTGCAAGAAGACCCCTATGTAACGGCAAATGGCCCGCCCCGACGAATCATATTCCCGAGTCAACGAATGTTTCTTGCGGTTGCTAATGCCGCTTGGACTGATATGGGCATGAATCAGCCGGTCCGGATGCATGCAGGATCAACCGAGGAAGTCCAAACGGTAGGAGGTTGGAAACGGTTGCCAAACCGAATACAACCGACTGCAGCTAGGATGCACGGAGGTTACATGCGGTTGCATGTGGGGATGGAATAACTGTCTAGAAGAAGACACTGCAACAATTGGGCCACGATTCAACCAAGAAGGTCGATCGTCAATTACAGCCAGGCGAGACCAAACCGCCCGACCGTTCATGCACCACCACCCTGCTGCAATTGCAACTGCCAGAGCATCGAGTTTCACTCCTGATCCAGCAGCCGAATCAGAACGGCAATTGTTCTGCCGCGACGAATCATATTTCCGAGTCAATGAAGGTTTATTGCGGTCGCTAAAGCCGCTTGGACCGATATGGGCATGAATCAGCCGGTCCGGATGCATGCAGGATCAACCGAGGATGTCCAAACGGCAAGAGGTTGGAAACGGTTGCCGAACCGAATACAGCCGACTGCAGCGAGCATGCATGGAGGTTACATGCGGTTTCTCAAGCCGCATGTGGGGATGGAATAACCGTCTAGTAGAATAGACGGGCCCGATAGTATAAGAGTAGAATCATTCTAAGGGAAATATCATTCAATGGTTCGCTTTCCGCTGCTACTCTGTATCTCCCCGTTGATAATATAAGGGATTCTACCATCAACCCCTGTGTGCACCTAGCAATAGCTGGTCGGTGCTTGTCCATATAGACGGTGAAGCCTATTCCCCCAGCGAGGGATACCCTTGAGTAGGGATTGAACGGCTAAGATCCGTGGTGGGACAGCCGGAACCAGGCTGAGTCGTTAGGTCATACCCGGGTCGGACGTGGTCGGATTCCCCATCTGTCAACGCGGACCCATATAGGTGGGCATACGCAACACACCAAGAAAAGAGAAATAGATCACTTTTCTGGTACGTTACACCTAAACATAATATATATGATATTATTGCGTTGCTAGCTTCGAAGCTCGGTCTGAAACGAGTTCAAACAAAGCTTCCTCCTCCAATTCCCAAGCCAACAACTCCACTCTGTAGGCCTTCCCCGAACACAACACCGACATCGTCAGCGCTGCACTTACGTCGACCCAGCCCCATGTGGCGCGTCACGTCCGCGTCGATCCGTAGATCCGTCCGGCATTTGCCTCAGGCGACCGCGTCGCCGGCAGCTCTCTTCCCTTACGCGCACTCATCGGCTGCCGCCACCCCCGCGACGAGATCCGATCTTTGCGACTCGTCCCCATGCCCGCTGCAGCCGTCACCGCACAAGTTTGACGATAAACGAACACATGCGCTTGATTCGCCCCAGATACTCTCTATCGCGGGCGCTTCGAGATGGTTCAGGATAGCAGGCGGAAATGCAGGTTCAGGAATGGGGACGGGCGGAGTGCGGTGGCGGAGCGCAATCAGTGGCGCGGGTGGCGGCGGAGATGACGGCAGCGAAAACGACGGTCAGGGCGGCGAGTTGCCGCCGGCAGCCGTGGCGGTGGAGGGAGAAGCGTCGGGCGGTGACGTGGCTGAAGCGGTTGACCTTTGTGAGTGTTTCCTCCTCTTGCGCACTCCGCTCACCCCCACGTCGCCGCTCGTCGCGCGTCACGGTCCCTATTCATCCCTCACCTAACCCCCCTCTCGGGACACTATGGACACTTCTCCATCCGCCCCCAACCATCCCCCCCCGGCCCCCAACCATTTCCTTCGGCTCCGAACCAACTCCCCGCGGATCCAGCGCCGCCCGCGGCCATTGCACCATACCTGGCGGCGGTGCAGGGCGGGGGGGAGGGGCGGCAGCGGAGGCGGCGGCAGTACGGGACGTACGGGGACGACATAGAGGAGGAGGCGGAGGGCTTCGAGGAGCCCGCGGACGAGGCGGAGTACCGCCACCTGTACGACGCACGCGGGGTGGTCGACAAGTGGCTGGGCGACCCCGCGCTCTGGGGCATGCTGTCAGGTGATGGGGGGTGCTGTCAGGTGAATGGGGGGTGCTGTCAGGTGAAGGGGCGTGTTGTCAGGTGATGGGGGGTGCTGTCAGGTGATGGGGGGTTCTGTCAGGTGAATGGGGGGTGCTGTCAGGTGAATGGGCGTGTTGTCAGGTCGGGACGATCAACAGAAGGGGAACGAGCAGGAAAGGCAAGAACGCCGAGATTGAGCAAAAGGGAAAGTAGACTGGTGAGGAAGCTCGAGGCGTCATTGAGATGGTGCACTTGCTCCTGCCACGCTCCTGAACCTCCTTGCACTCTTCTTTCCTTCTCTGCTACAATTCTGACCCTCCGTGCTTACCCTCCGTGCTTACCCTCCATGCTTACCCTCCGTGCTTACCCTCCGTGCTTACCCTCCGTGCTTACCCTCCGTGCTTACCCTCTGTGCTGACCCCCTCTGTGCTGACCCCCACTGTGCTGTTCCCTTTGTTCATTCGCCCCGCATCCTGCAGCGGATGCGTTAGGAGGCGATGGGGAGGAGGAGGAGGATGAAGGGGAGGGTCCCGAGCTGAGATGGGAGACACGGATGGTGCTGGGGCCGGGTAAGTGCAGCGCATGCATGCAACGCTGCTCACCGCTGCCAACTTGGCATGGCACGATGTTGCTCTATATGGCTGGAATCTCTTCTCTAACCTTGGTTCGATTCCTCGCACCTTCGTACACCAGCTGTTGTGTTGCGGGGCATGCCATTGCCTTGCCGCCATCAGCCGTGCCTGCCTCCACTCACTACCACACTCACACCACAACCGCTGCACACCCCGCCTGCCCCCTGCTTTGCTGCCGGCAGGAGGGGACGCGTGGCACCCGGCAAACCGCAAGGTGAAGGTGAGCGTGTTCGTGCGCGAGCTGCAGCTGTCCCGCCTCGCCAAGGAGCGCCTGCTGGCGCTGGTGGGGCGGCGCTACAACACGCACCGCGATGAGCTCACCATCGTCAGCGAGAGGTGAGGCTCGCGATCAAACAGCACTTTTTTTGGTGGAACGGGACTCAGTTTTGCCCCGGTTGTGCAGCACCTAAGCTGCTTGGTTCGCCCACGGTGCTTGTTTATCTCATGTGACTTTGCTTCCTCCTCTTGCTGTTACGAGTTTCATAATCGTGTTGTGTGTGTATGTGTGTATCCATGGGAATGTTTGTGCTTTCGCACACTTTTGTGTGTATGGGGATGGTCGGGCATGTGCATGCTTGGGGCATCGACAGGTACAGCCACCGGGAGGAGAACCGCAAAGACGTGTTTCGCATTCTGCATGCGCTCATCGCCGAGGCAAAGCAGGCCGACCAGCTCGCAGCTCAGGCGGCGGCTGAAGCTGCCCCCGTCACATGCTCACAAGCTGCCTCCTTGGCATAGTTGCCATGGCTCATTGGGAATGAAGGGTCCAGTCCAGTTCCAGAGAGGTCACTTGTAGTTCCCGTAAACATCATGAAATGTCTTGCCGTGCATCTGAAATGCGAGAGAATATTCAAGGAACTTCACATTTCAGTAGTTGTTAGCTGTAGCAGTGCTTGGGTACGAGCTACTGTAGCATAGGGTCCTCACATTAGTTACTCAGGCAGCTACCTTTTTGCTAGAATCATGATTCATCATGATTCATGATGACTCATGTACTCTTGTTTATGGAGCCGATAGCCAACAGACAGGGCACCTTAGGGCCAGGGGGACTTCCAATTGCAACTGTTTCAGTACCCTCTAAAATGCATACATTACAAGCAGGATTACCGTATGAGATTTTGAAAATGCTTCCTGCGTTTCATATCAGTTAATCTTACCGTAATTGAACCCGGATTTTGAGTAATTCATGTTCAGGTACAGACCACTTTCAATGTCGACTTTCAGTCTGGCCATAGACGCGTATACCGCACATGCCGAGTCGAATCGCACACCCTCGTCGTAGCTTCTCGAATGTACGACGCCACCCAAGACCGTCAGTCTCAGCCAATCGTATCACAGCACTTACCATTTGACCTGACCATTCCACGCGAAACTAGAATTTCGTGGTTGTTTGTTCCCAAGCCAGCAATCTTTGCCCCAAAACCAGTGTCAATCCCGTCTCGTTTGGGCAGAAGAAGATGCCTTGCTCCCAACTCCTTCCCTCGCCATCCCTCTTCTGTTCCCCACGGCCCAAAACCACCTCCAAATGCTGCGAAGGTCTCTGCGACTTGGCTGGAAAGAGAAATAAAAGTAGGCCAGTTATTTCCTAGACGACGGATTTTCAGAAAGCTTAGTTTTTCATTTCACAAATTAATTGGTGGCCTAATATCTGCGCGGGAGGCGCACTCTTTAGTGCGGAGTACTATCAGGGAGATGTGTTGGTAGTATTGCCAGAACGACAACCATTTGGGTAACAATCGAGCAGGAACAGGACGCACTCTTCTTTCCGATTCCATAGTTTGCTTACCTTGCATACCTCTTTCAAGCGCACAGCGGAAACACAAGATCCCAATCATCGTCTCTTCTCGCCACCAGCCAGCAGTAAAAAAAGCGTTCTGAACAGGAAAGGTCATTGCTCCGCAAGGTCCGAAAGGAAAAACACGCATTCGTCGTGATGGCAACGTCAGCGGTGGGGTTCAAGCCGCGCGAGGACCACAAGAAGGCCAAAGAGCTCGAAGAGGCGCGCAAGGCGGGGCTGGTGCCGGCGGAGGTGGATGAGGACGGCAAGGAGATCAACCCGCACATCCCGCAGTACATGTCGTCCGCGCCGTGGTACCTCAACGCCGACCGACCCGTGAGTGGTTTCGCCAAACGACCCGTGGAGGTAGTACGGTGAACACCACTTCGATACTTGTATACCCACCAGCAGCAAGGCATGCATGGAAGAATTAGTTACAGCATCCATGTAGGAAAACAGCTCGTTCATGTGCTGAAATGGCGTCTTTTCAGCTCTTTCAGCTCATGGCGATTTTCAGCTTGGTGTGTATTTGTTGTGCGTTTCATTGTACACGTGCGCGCTCGTGCAGAGTTTGAAGCACCAGCGCAACTGGAAGGCGGAGGGTGGGCAGCAGAACAAGAACTGGTACGACCGTGGAGCCAAGGTGTTTCAAGCCACCAAGTACCGCAAAGGCGCTTGCACCAAGTGAGTTTCCCCGCTCCTGGGCTCAGAGATTTCCTCGAGTGCTGATTGAGTGTGAGCTGACTTCGTGTCGTGTCTCAAGTGCTACTGCCTCGAATGAGCTTCCTTCTTGCCGTTCCCATCCCCAGCAAAAGTTCTGCCCGATAATGGAAGGCCGGAACCAGCATTTCGGACTGTTAGCTCATGCCATGTGCGTCGTGGGTCAAAGAGAAATCATGTGGTGGCAGGCACGCAGCCATCCGTCACCTTCCTCCTCCTTACCTCCAACCCGCCCTCCTTCATATCTCTCATACACTCACGCACTCACACACTCGCGCACTCACTCACTCAACTTGTGCACAGAGCACGTACCATGCGCCGGTGAGCTCTTCTTAGCCAGCCCCTCGTGACCCTTGCTTCGCCTCCCCTAATGCGTCTGCAGAGCCATGACGCACAACAAGTCATGACCACAAACGGGGGAAAGAAGAAACGGGTCACCCGTCTTACTTCTTCGCCATGAGGGCGAAACGGGGTCGACCCGACGGAGCACGTAATACGCCACTGACGCAGTGAAACGGCCTTAATCCATCTCGGCCTTGTCCCCCCTCGAGCCGGCACGGAACGCCCGCGGAAGCTCGGCGCGAATTTGACGTTGCAGTTCATCCCCTGGCTTCCGCCAGGGCCGTGAATGGCTCTCCTCTGCTCAACCCCCTCTTGGTGCCCGCTTCTCCTCCCGTCCCTCTTCTCCGTCTCTCACTGATGCACGACCATGACGCACGCAGAGAAGCGGCCTTAATCCATCCCCCCTCTTTCCCCCTGTCATGCACGCAGCTGCAGTGAATATGGCTCTCCTCTGCTCAATCCCCTCATGACGATCGCCTCTCCTCCCATCCCTCCCCTCATGCTGTCACAAATCCCCCATTCATCCCCTTCCCCTCTGCTTCCGTCCCTCCCATCCTCGTGTCACCCACGCTCTCATGCATTCATGCACCTGCAATGCAACGCCATGACGCACTATGCACCTGCAATGCAACGCCATGACGCACTATCACAAGTCGTGCACGGAGAGGCTGCGAAGATGGGAGCGACATGTCCACCTGACCCGTGATGTGGTTCTCTGCTCAATCCCCTCATGGCGCTCCCCCCATGATCTCACTTCATGGATGCACACATCAGTGGCGCCATGACGCACCACCACAAGTCGTGCACCCAACGGCCGCGGAAGCTGGGCGCGAAATACACGTCGCAGGGCATCGCGGCGGACGAGAAGGTGGAGTCGTTCGAGCTGGACTTCGACGGCAAGCGGGCTGGCTGGCCAGCAGAAAGGGCTCGACCCTTGTTTTGAGGCGCCTATGAACCCCCCATGCCCCTCCCATCTGCTTCGGTCCCCCAAATCCTCGTGCACGTATGCAGTTGCGGCGCCATGACGCACGACCACAAGTCGTGCACGGAGCGGCCGCGGAAGCTGGGCGCCAAGTTCACGTCGCAGTGGATCGCGGCGGACGAGAAGGTGGAGTCGTTCGACCTCGACTTCGACGGCAAGCGCGACCGCTGGAACGGCTTCGACCCCTCCACGTACGCGCGCGTCGTCGCCGCGCATGGCGTGCGCGAAGAGGCGCGGCGGAGGTTCCGCAAGGAGCAGCAGCTGCGGAGGCTGAGCAGCGAGGGGGGAGCGGCGGGGGGAGCAGGGGAAGCGGGGGATGGGGGGGAGGGGGGAGAGGGAGAAGGGAAGGGAGGGGGGGAGGAGGAGAGGGATGAGGCGAGGGTGGACGAGAGCGAGCAGCGGGATTTCGCCAAGGTGGAGAAGCGCGTGAGGACGACGGGAGGCGGCAGCTCCGGGACGGTTCGCAACCTGCGGATCCGCGAAGATACGGCGAAATACCTCCTTAATCTGGATGTCAACTCCGCGTACTACGACCCTAAGACGCGGTCGATGCGCGAGGACCCGAATCCTGGATGCGACGCGGACGAGAAGTTTTATAAAGGGGATAATTTCAATCGGATTAGCGGGCAGGCGGTGGAGTTTCGCCAGCTCGCGCTGCACGCGGCTCGCGCGAATGAAGCGGCGCGCGACGCGCGCGGGGAGGTGCACGTGCAAGGCGCGCCGAGCCAGGCGGAGCTGCTGCACCGCGAATTCAAAGTGCGCAAGGAGCGGCTGCTGGCTGCGAAGCGCGAGGCGGTGCGGGAGAAATACGGCAACGCGGCGGCGGATCCCGAGGCGAACGGCGTGACTGGCGCGCTGCTGCTGGGGCAGACGGAGACGGCCGTGGAGTACGACCGGAGCGGACGCGCGGTGAAGGGACAGGAGAAGCTGGTGGTGGCGCGAAGCAGGTACGCGCAAAGAGGTAGGTGCGCGCAGTGGTAATGCAAAAATGGACTGGAGGGTGTGCAGGGAGGAAGGGAATGGCGTTATGAAGGGACAGCAGCAGGTGAACGCAGTGGTGGTCAGCGAATTACGTGCGGTGGTAACCAGCTCGCGAGGATGACGATACAGGAAAGTCAGGTACTCTACATCGAGATAGGCAGGATCGCTTCTGAAATTTCTCAAAAGCAGTACAAGCCTGTGAGTGGAATCAGGTCAATGAGAAGGTACAATATGTGAGAATGAGCAAATACTCTGAGGTGGTAACTACGCAATCACAACATGCACAAATGCATGTTGATTCCCTTAGTTGGGAGAGGAGCATCTTGAATGGCTGAATTCAAGGGAGAAATGAAGGCGGAATTGATGTTTACTGAATCTATCATTCTACTTTCCTTCTCATTTCAATTCCTATTGACATTATTGCCCTTTCTCTTCACAATATTTGTATATTTTTCATTGCCACCAGGTACGAGGAGGATGTGTATGTCAACAACCACACGTCTGTGTGGGGATCCTACTGGAAGGATGGGCAGTGGGGCTACTCCTGCTGCCATCAGATGTTGCGCCTGAGCTATTGCACAGGCTCGGCAGGCATCCAAGCCGCAGAGGCAGCTGCGGAAGCCTCCACAGCTGCTGGTTTGGCAGGCGCTCTAGGTGATGATAGGAGGGGGTTCGAGGGTGGGAAAGAAGGTGGTGAGGGTGGGGGTGATGGAAGCAGTGGAAAAGCAGCAGCTGCAGGGGGCGGGGTGGTGTTGCCATGGGGAAGTGCGGGAGGGGAGGACGTGGATCCATCAACACTGGACCCGGAGAAGCTTAAGCAGGCAGCTAAGAAGGTATGTGCTTCTGTTGACATGCGCACGGTCCGTAGTGGTTTTTTGCAGTTATTGACGGTCCGTCACCCACGTGGGGATTTTTAGTCAATTTTCGCAGCTTTATTGTTCATGTTTGGCATGCCGGTTTGGCATCAGTCCCGCTGTCCTGTATGTGTTTAGCCAATTGCTCTTGGTAACATGTGCTGAACAGTCCTTCAGTCAGACCCCTCCATCATTCCCTCTACCACAATAAAGGTGGCTGATTTGCATTTTTCTTCTTCTTTACATACACATCACCTGCTTCCCCCACTTCCCCACTTCCGTGAAGGTGGGTACTTTGGACCAAGATTCAAAACTACATACTGTATACATGCACACATGATATTAAAACTCTTATCGCATTGCTCATACAGCTCGTGTTACCCCCATTTCCCATATGCATGACAGATGGAGTTGCGTGCAATGGAGGAGAAGGACGAGAGGAAGAGAAAGTACAATGTGCGGCATGATGACGAGGTATGTGTCTTGCTGATATGTGGCATGAAGATGATGAATGTGTCATTCCAGATGTGGCATGAAGAAGGATAATAGGGTATGTGTATTCAAAATGTGTCATCATAATGATGAGCCGTGCATTATGATCATGCGTTAGCTTTCACGAGGATGGGATGTATGGCATTAGGTGTTCGGCGCGATGGTGCAGTACGTTGAAGGTTGATCATGATGAGTGGTTCGGCGCTGCCCTAGTGTTACATGTCTTGCTAATCTGCTTTTTGTCTTATTCCAAATTTCACATGATGGCAGGTCACGGCTGAGGATATGGAGGTATATCGGCTTAAGAGAGTTCACTATGATGATCCCATGAAAGATTATGCTGACAAGGAATAATTCATCAACCCAGGCCCTGTATTCATAACATTGGCAAAATGATGTGCTACTAGGAAACATGTTTGATTAAGGTGGTTTTGTACCTTACCTATGGTAGTTCAATGAATAGTTCACGGCCATGAAGAGTACAGTACAAGCACTCTAAGCGAAGGCATGGCACAGTCGGAGTACCGAACGGTAATACGGTAGTAACGGGTGATGGTCATTGCGTCACACAACTGTTTGGTGGAATGGAAAGGAAATGCATACATGGACATGTGCACAAAAAGGCATAAATTCATTTCTCTCCCTTCATTAAATTTGAGAAGGGGGGAAGCGATGAGGTGTGAGGCATGAGGTGTGAGGGCATGAGGCGTGATGCATGAGGAGTGAAGCAGTATGCGTGAGTATTGAGTTGCGTGCAAATATCATTTTTGCACGACAACCAGCTGCCGCATAACGTCATGCATTTTGTATATTTTTTGTGCGCATTCATTTTCACATTGTTTTTCAGTTATTTCCGTTGGGAGTTCTGTCAAACTTAAATGCTCTAGTCTGTGTAGGCTGTAGTGGGGTAGACAATATGGGGTACAAGACTTTTAGTTTTTCCTACTTGTACCCATCTGTTTCCCACTACATTCACTTCCTCGTTCTTTCACATGGTATAGAGCAGGTTCCCTAGTGGGAACGGTTCCTAGGGCCCACAGTTCCTAGTCATGTAGCTGCGTCGGGTCAGGTGTTTGCTGCAGCGTCCAGGTCTGGTCCTGAGTCTGCTCCCTGCTCGTGTCGTCTCCTATCCCATCGGACTCTCCTCTGGCACCACCGCCTTGGTCACCCCTCCCTGCCTCGTCTCCAAGGCATGGCCTCCCGTTACCTTGTTTCTGGTCTCCCCCGGTCCCTCCCACCCCTCCCTCCGAGGCCTGCCCCTACCTGCGTTCCCTATGTCGAGGGGCGGCAGCGCGCCGCCCCTCACTCCTTCGAGTTTCCTCCGACAGAGGCTCCGCTGCAGACTCTTCATATGGACGTGCGGGGCCCCACCCGCGTCCGTGGCCAGGGTTACGAGCGTTACTTCCTGTTGGTGGTTGAAGACTACTCGCGTTACACCACGGTGTTCCCCTTGCACAGCAACGGTGACGTCACTGAGGTGTTGATCGACTGGATCCGCGCAGCTCGTCTCCAGCTCAGAGAGAGTTTCGGCTCGGACTTTCCTGTTCTGCGTCTGCACTCTGACAGAGGCGGGGAGTTTTCCTCTGGCCTTCTGGGAGCCTTATGTCATGCACAGGGCATCCGCCAGACCTTCACACTTCCGGCCTCTCCACAGCAAAATGGGATTGCTGAGCGCCGCATTGGCATGGTCATGGACGTCGCTCGTACGTCCATGATCCATGCGGCTGCTCCCCATTTTCTGTGGTCGTTTGCGGTTCGGTACGCAGCACATCAGATCAACCTTCAGCCCTGGGTCTCCTTGCTAGAGACCCCCCCCACCTTGCGGTGGACGGGGAAGGTTGACGATGCGTCTGCGTTTCGTGTCTAGGGATCTCGGGCGTTTGTCCGCGACTTGTCTGCGGACAAGCTGTCCCCCCGTGCTGTTCCCTGCGTCTTCCTTGGCTTCCCCCCTGACGTGCCTGGTTGGCAGTTTTACCACCCCACCTTGCGCCGTGTTCTGTCCTCCCAGGACGTCACCTTTGACGAGTCGGTTCCTTACTACCGTCTCTTCCCCTACCACACTGCGCCCCTCCCCCCGCCGCCGCTCTTCCTTGCGCCAGGTCCCCCCCCGGTGGACCCTCTCCCCCCTCAGGGTCCTGCCCCGTCAGGTGTGTCCCAGGTAGACGCAGTCGAGCCTGTCGAGGTAGCTGTTGACTCTGGTGCTGCTAGGGGTGCTGAGCATGGGGGTGCTGAGTCTGGGGGTGCTGAGCGTGGGGGTGCTGAGCCTGGGGCTGCGGAGCCCGGGGGTGCGGAGCATGGGGGTGCTGAGCCTGGAGGTGCGGAGACTAGGGGTGCTGGGTCTGCTCGTGTGGCCTTTGGCGGTGCTGGGTCTGGGGGTACTTCGGGTGCTTCGTCTCGGCGGGAGCTACCCTCTCCATAGGAGCTACGCGAGTGGTTTGCCTGGCGCTGGAGCCATGCTGCTAGAGCTGGAGGTGCTACTGTTGCTGCTGACCCTAGGGTCGGCGCTGGAGGTACTGGAGCCACTGGTCCTGGAGGTGCTCGTACTGGCGGTGCTGGAGCAGTTGGGACTGGGGGTGCTGCTGGGGCTGCTGGAGTTGGTCCTGCTGGAGGTACTAGAGCTGCTAGGGGTGTTGGCGCTTGAGGTGCTGCTGGCGCTGGTACATCTGAGGGTGCTGGAGTTGGCGCTGCTGGAGCTAGAGGTACTGCTGGCGGTGGTGCTGCCGCTGGGGGTACTGGTGCTGTCCCTGCTGTTTCAAGAGGCGCTGAGTGGCCGCGGCCGTACTTCCTTCTGCTCCTTGAGTAGGTTCTTGGTCCCGCCTTCTACTGGTCCTACTCCTCCCTTAGAGTGTCCACAACCTGTCCAGTCACAGTTACAGCCCGCCTCCCCCCTGCCTGCTCCTTCTCCCTACACTGGTCCTACTTGAGGTCTTGCTGAGCGTCGTGAGCCTGCGTCTCGTCCTGCGTCGCCTGTTCGTGCTGCTCGCACTAGTAGTCGTGTTCCGCGTCCGCGTCCTCCTGCGGTCCCAGTAACACACCAGATGGCACTGGGTCCTTCCACTGCTCCTCTGCGTGTCTCGTTGCCGTCTCCTCCAGAGTCCTCTCTTTCTGTTCTTGCTGACCCGGAGTTTGACTCGCTTCGTGCTGCCAGTCCTACTGTCACGTGTCTCTTGGCTACTATTATCACTGACCCTTCCTTTGAGTCCACTGTCTCGTCTGCCTTAGTTGCTGAGCTTGTCGTCTTTGCTGCTCGCTATCGTCTAGACTACGCTGCTAGTCTTGTTGTTGCGTCTGAGTCTGTCTGTCCTCCGTCCGTCGGGGGTGAGTGTGCTCTTAGCACGGACGTTCTTGAGGACATGCAGGAGGAGTTCCAGTGTTTTGCTACTGTTTTGCCTCATCTCGTGTCCATGCTGGTTGCCCCTGAGGGAGACCCGGATGCACCAGACATCCCGAATCCTCGATCGTACGCTGAGGCGATCAAAGGTCCCTACTCCTCTCAGTGGAAGTCAGCCATGGACGCAGAGATGGCTTCCTGGAAGTCCACAGCCACCTACGTTGACGAGGTTCCCCCATCTAGGGCGAACATTGTCAGTGGCATGTGGATTTTGAGGGTGAAGCGGCCGCCGAGTTCTCCGCCTATCTTCAAGGCGCGTTACGTGGCTCGAGGCTTCGGTGAGCGGTAGGGAGTTGACTTTTTTCAGACCTTCTCTCCCACCTGGAAGATGACCACTCTTCGGGTGCTGCTGCACATAGCCGCTCAGCGCGACTACGAGCTTCACTCTCTTGACTTCAGCACAGCTTTCTTGCAGGGCTGCCTGCACGAGGAGATCTGGCTACGCCGCCCACCTGGCTTCTCTGGGTCGTTTCCTCCTGGTACCCAGTGGAGCCTCCGTCGGCCAGTCTACGGTCTCCGCCAGGCGCCCCGTGAGTGGCACGACACACTGAGGACTACACTTGCGGCTCTTGGGTTTGCTCCTTCTACTACCGACCCGTCGCTGTTTCTACGCACCGACACCTCTTTGCCGCCGTTCTACATCCTCGTGTACGTCGACGATTTGGTCTTTACCACTGCTGGCATTGCTGGACTCGCCCACGTGAAGTCGGAGCTGCAGAAGAGACACACGTGCACAGACCTGGGTGAACAGCGCAGCTACCCTGGCTTGCAGATCACCCGTGACAGAGCACAGCGCACCATTACCCTGACTCAGTCACACATGGTGCAGTAGGTCCTTCAGCGCTTCGACTTCACGTACTCCTCGCCTCAGGCCACTCCTCTGTCTACTCGCCACTCTCTCTCAGCTCTGCCTTTGGATGAGTCCGTAGAGCCGAGTGGCCCGTACCAAGAGCTTGTTGGCTGCCTCATGTACCGGATGACCTGCACTCGACCTGACCTTGCATACCCTCTTAGCATCTTGGCACGCTATGTTGCTCCTGGGAGACACCGACCAGAGCACATGGCTGCAGCGAAGAGGGTGTTGCGCTACTTGTGCGGTACGTCGGGCATGGGGCTAGTGCTTGGAGGGCGGCGTTCAGTGGTCCTCACCGGTCACGCAGACGCTTCTTGGGCTGACGACCAGGCTACGCAGCGGTCGTCACAGGGTTACACCTTCAGCCTTGGTTTTGGCTCTGTTTCGTGGCGGTCCACCCGCTCGTCTTCGGTTCTCGGCTCCAGCTGTGAGGCTGAGATCTACGTGGGGGCCATGGCTGCATAGGAGCTATGCTGGCTCACCTACCTACTGACTGACCTAGGAGAGCCGCCTCGTTCTCCTCTAGTTCCGTACGTAGACAAGAAGGCCATGCTGGCCTTGTGTTAGGAGCACACACTGGAGCACAGAACGAAGCACATTGCTCTTCGTTACTTCCTTGCTCGTGAGCTGCAGCAGCGTGGTCAGCTGCGCCTTGCTTACGTGGCCTCTGAGGCTAACACAGCTGATATCTTCACCAAGGCACTTCCGCCTTGTGATCATCAGTGCTACTGTACGATGTTAGGTCTTGTGCCTACTTGGCCTCACTTGCTCACTTCTTGACCTTGCTTGTACTGTGATCTATCTCTACCTGCACTTGCTTGTTTACCTTTATATATGATCTTGCATGTGAACTCGCCTTGTGGCCTTGAACTTGTGCTCGGAATTTGTGGTGACGTTGTGATCCACCCTGAGCTTGCTTTGCTTTGCTTGACTGGTCTTGTGACCTCTTGTTCTCCCCCACTTTGCCTATGGGGTTGTGTCAAACTTATATGCTACAGTATGTGTAGGCGGTAGTGGGGTAGACTACATGGGGTACAACACTTTTGGTTTTCCTACTTGTACCCATCTGTTTCCCAGTGCATTCACTTCCCCGTTCTTTCACAGGTTCATTAGTGTAAGAAATTTTCCCGAATTCGTTATCGGGATTGACTGCTACGCGTACAGCCTGACTTTCAGACTTAGCACGTTCGGCCGATTTCAACGCTGCCGAGGCTCCTCGCGTCGCCTTCGGCATTTCCCATCGCCAAACCTGCAACACAAGCTCGCTCATCCAAGGTTTCCTCCTAGCTAGGCCAACCCCTACATTAGTCCGTGCCTTCATTGTATTCTTAGATCAGTTAATCACAGTCTCGTTATTCGTTTACCTGCGCACTCTCTTTTACAAGTCATAACACCTGGTATCCGAGCTACTTTCCTAGTTCACCCCGCTTTTCCGAAGTTAGTTTGGTGACATAGGGTTGTGAAACTCATATGCTATAGTTTGTGTAGGCTGTATTGGGGTAGACAATATGGGGTACAACGCTTTTAGGTTTTCCTACTTGTACCCACCTGCTTGCTAGTTCATTCATTCCTCATTTCTTCACATGGTATAGAGCAAGTTCCCTAGTGCGAACGCTTCCTACGACCCACCACTGATTTTTTTTTTTTTTTTTTTTTTTTTTTTTTTTGACCGGAGCGCGAGTCGTCCTTGCCCGAGGCGCGCCCTGTGGGCCGCCCTCTCGTCGCGTCCCCTGCCCTTAGCGGCCTGTCGCGCCCTCCTAGAGGCCCCTCTCACGGCCCTTCGCGCCACCCCTAGCGGCCCCGTCGCCGCCCTTAGCGGCCCCGTCGCCGCCCTTAGCGGCCCCGTCGCCACCCCTAGCGGCCCCATCGCCGTCCCTAGCGGCCCCGTCGCCGCCCTTCGCGACCCCGTCGCCGCCCGTTACGGCCCCGTCGCCGCCCTTCGCGGCCCCGTCGCCGCCTTTTGCGGCCCCGTCGCCGCCCCCATCGGCCCCGTCGCCGCCCTTCGCGGCCCCGTCGCCGCCTCTAGCGGCCCCGTCGCCGCCCTTCGCGGCCCCGTCTCCATTCCTTCGCGGCCACGTAGCCGCCTTTCGCGGCCCCGTCGCCGCCTCTAGCGGCCCCGTTGCCGCCCTTCACAGCCCCGTCGCCGACCCTTCGCGGCCCCGTAGCCGCCCTTCGCGGCCCCGTCGCCGCCTCTAGTGGCCCCGTCGCCGCCCTTCGCGGCCACGTCGCCGCCCCTAGCGGCCCCGTCGCCGCCCTTCGCGGCCCCGTCTGTCAGAATATTATTCTTATGTTCTAGCCTGTAGTGGGGTGCTCTATAGCGAGTACAACCCTTCTAGGGTTTGCTATTTGTATCCCCATTTCTGCTAGTTCATCACTCTTTCTTCTTCAAAACTTTGTCACCGTCGCCGCCCTTCGCGGCCCCTTGCGGCCTCTTCTTAGCCCCGTCGCCACCCTTCCCGGCCCCTCCTCGGCTCCTCCGCCACCAGCAGCAGCCGCCGCCGCCGCCTGCAGTAGCCGACAGCAGCAAACGCCGCCGACAACAGCGGCGGCCACCACCAGCAGCAGCCGTCGCCGACGACAGCAGCGACTGCCGCCGCCACTAACAGCAGCAGCTACCGCCGCGGTCGCGGCTCTGTGCCTGCCGACGCGCCTCGGCCCTGCCTCACTGCTTGCCAGCCCCTACCTACCAGCCCTGGTGAGAGCACTGCCGAGCCACGCCTTCTCCTGCTGCCCCTAGCCTGCTGACAGTGCTGTCATGGCTACCCCTAGTGTTCTAGTCTTTGATGCTGAGGGTCGGGCTGTTGACTTTGAGGTCTGGGTCGATGATCTATAGCTTTTCCTACAGTGCGATAGGAAGGACGGTCTCTCCCTGTTCGATCTCACGTCTGGCGCCTCTACTGCCCCTGCTGCCGATGCTGACAGCATTGTTCGCTCACAGTGGGCCACACGCGAAGCTGCTACCCGTCTTGCTGTGCGTAGTCACTTGCCGTCCACTGAGCGCGCGCACTTTAGTCAGTACAAGAGTGCTAAGACCTTGTACGATGCTGTCGTTGCACACTACTCTTCCCCTGCCACTGCTGCCCTTAGCCGCCTCATGCTGCCGTACCTGTTTCCTGACCTCGCCGCCTTTCCCACTATCGCTGACCTCGTTACGCACCTTTGCACTAGTGACACGCGCTACCGCGCTGCGCTTCCTGCTGAGTTCTGCGCCAAGAACCCCCTCCCCGATGTACATCACCCTCTACTACATAGTCACCCGGCTCCCTAACTCCCTTCGCTCGGACAGGGACCACTTTCTCTCTGTTTGCCGTACCACACTCACCGTTGACCTCCTCAAGGAGCGCCTCCTGGCAGTTGAGAAGAGTACAGTCCCTGTAGGAGCCTCTTGTGGTGACCCTCGTGCCCCCGTCTTTGAGAGGTGCTCCCCCTCCCCCCTTTTGCCCTCTGTTGCCTCTGCTGTTGCCGTCGACTTCGTTGGCACCGAGTCGGTCGGCACTGCGTCTGCCCCTAGCGGGCGACGCCGCACCGGCAAGGGCAAGGGGGGCAAGGGCGCTAGAGGGGCTCGAGGGGGCGGTGGAGGTGGCGGTGGAGGAGGCAGAGGGAGTGGGGGTGGTGGAGGGAGTGGTGGCGGGGGTGGGGGCTTCGGTGGCGGCGGTGGAGGCGGAGGCGGCGGCGGCGGTGGCGGTGGGAGCGGAGGAGGAGGCGGCGGCGGCGGTGGCGGAGGTGGCGGCGGAGGAGGTGGAGCTAGTCGAGGTGGCTCTGCGCAGGGGGGCGGCTTCGGTGGTGGTCAGCGCCAGCAGCAGCAGCGCACTCGTGAGACCCCGCCCCCCCAGCAGCTTCGTGAGTGGTACGCTTCGCGTCAGCGGGGTGGGGGTGCTAGTCCCTGTACCTACGTCCTGCGTACCGGCGACCGTACGAGTGAGCAGTGCGGGGGCCCGCACCCCACCCAGCGCTGCTTCGGCCGCCTGACGGACGCCTGGCGTCTCTAGTTCCCTGACGCCACTGAGATCCCTCGCTGGGGAGAGCTGCAGTGGTCGGGGGTTGCTATCTTTGATCTTGATTGTGATGTTATTCTTGCTGCCATGTATGCTGTGTCTGCTAGTGATGAGGGTGACTGTTACCTGTGTGTTCCGCCTGACTCGGAGATTGGGACTGCTGCTCTAGGTGCTGGTGAGGCTGTTGCTCTAGGTGCTAGATGTCAAACATTATGTATGTTGTAGTTGGTTAGGCTACAGTGGGTTAGCCTTTAGGGGGTACACAATTCTATGTTTAGGTACTTGTACTCAGTTCTCTCTCAATTCAATCATGCATTCTCTAACATGGTATCAGAGCAGGTCCTTCGCTAGGACCGATTTCTTAGGGCCCACCACTGCTGACTGCCTACTAGCGCCCTCGTGCGCCTCACTGTCGGAGCGCCCTCGAGCGCCTCCCCCAGCGTCCCTCCTTTTAACGACCCCTTAGCGACCCGCGCGCCGCCCCTTAGAGGCCTCGTCGGCCCATCGACCCCGAGCGCGCCCCACCTTACGGCCCCGTCGGCCCCACCTAGAGGCCCCGTCGGCCCGCGCGCCCCACCTTGAGGCCTCGTCGGCCCCACCTAGAGGCCCCGCCGGCCCACGCGCCCCACCTAGAGGCCCCGTCGGCCCCACCTAGAGGCCCCGTCGGCCCGTCGACCCCGCGCACGCCCCTCCTTGAGGCCCCGTCGGCCCCGCCTAGAGGCCCCGCTGGCCTTGTCGACCCCACGTGCGCCCCGCGTAGAGGCCCCGCTGGCCCTGTCGACCCCGCGCGCCGTCCCTTAGTGGCCCCGTCAGCCCCGTAGACCCCGCGCGCCCACCCCATAGCGGCCCCGTCGACCCCACGCGCCGCCCCTTAGCGCCCCGCACGCGACAGCCACGGCCCCGCCAGAACCAGGCCGCCCGAACCGAGCTGCCCGAACCGAGCCGCCCAGCCCGAGCTGAGCCGCGCCGCCCGAACCGAGCCGCGCCGCCCTACATGAACCGAACCGCGCCGCCCGTACTGAGCAGCCTTTCTGTACCAAGCCGCTCTCCCTGAGTCGCGCTGCCTACTGCTTTTAGGGTGCACCCTCTGCTACTGCTCCTTCTACTATACTGCTGCTCCTACTGCTACTATGGCTAGCCCTCCTGTACTAGCTTTCGATACAGAGGGCCGCCCAGTGAAGTTTGACACCTGGCTAGATGATCTGCACCTCTTCCTACAGCTCACTGCCAAGGAGGACATCTCACTGTACGATCACGCCCTAGGCCATGCCACTGCCCCTGCTGCTACTGTTGACAGCACTGCCCGCTCACTGTGGCAGACTCGTGACGCCCACGCTCGCTTTGCTATTCGCAACTCCGTGCCGATAGATGAGCGCGAGCACTTTGGCCTGTACAAGACTGCCCAGGCACTATACACTGCCGTCGTTGCGTGCTACTCCTCACCTGCCTCTGCTGCGCTAGGCCGTCTCTCACTCCCCTACCTGTTCCCCGACCTCGCCTCCTTCCACACAATCGCTGACCTCATCACGCACCTCCGTACTAGTGAGGCCCGCTTCCGTGCCGCTATGCCTGATGAGTTTCTTGTTACGAACCCCCCCCCCCCCCGCTCTGGCTCACTCTCTACCACCTAGTTACCCGCCTCCCTGACTCTCTGCATGCAGTCAGGGACCACTTCCAAGCTCGCTGCCCCACTGAGCTCACCATTGCCCTCCTCGAGAAGGAACTACTTGCAGCTGAGGCTAGCATAGTCGCTGTAGGTGCCTCTCGTGGGGACCCCCGCACCCCTTTCTTCGAGGGGTGTTCCCCTTCCCCCCTTCTTCCCTCTGTAGCCTCTGCTTCTGCTGTCAACCTCCTTGGTGCTGAGAAGGTCGGGACTGCGTCTGCTTCGAGCTGGCGCCGCAGCGGCAAGGACAAAGGGGGCAAGGGAGGCAGAGGTGACGGCGGGGGAGGCGGTGGTGGGGGTGGTGGCGGCGGTGGGGGTGGTGGTGGGGCTGGAGGGGCTAGTGGCAGCGGTTGGGGTGGTGGCGGCAGCGGCGGGGGAGATGGCAGGGGAGGAGGTGGTGGTGGGGGCGGTGGTGGACGCGGTAGCGGCAGGGGAGGGGGTGGTCGAGGAGTTGGCGGTGGCAGTGGTGGTCGTGGGGGCGCTGGCAGTGGCCAAAGCCAGCAGCACACTTCGTCACCCCAGGAGCTCCTTGAGTGGTACTCTCAGCACGGGGGGGGGGGGGGGGGGGGGGGGGTGGCCTTAGCTGCACGTACGTTATCCGCACTGGTGACCGCACTGGTCAGACGTGTGGGAGGGCTCGCCCCACGTAGCGCTGCTTCTCTCGCCTCGACGACGCTTGGCGCACTCAGTTTCTTGAGGCCACTGAGCTGCCTTTCTGGGCTGATCTGATGAAGAAAAACATTGATATCTTTGCACTAGACTTTGATGCTATTCTCACCGCCATGTATGTGATGTCTGTTAGTGGAGAGGGTGCTCAGTACCTGCGTGTTCCGCTCGATCCGGACATTCAGACCAATGAGGCTGCCGCTCTAGGTGCTAGAGTGTCTGCTACCCCAGGTGCTGGTGAGGCTACCGCTCTAGCTGCTAGTGAGTCTGCGCCCCCTCGTACTGAGCTGACTGAGGCACTGCACACCTTCACACTGCACTCAGGTGCTTCCCGCTGTTTCTTTCGTGACCGCACGGCCCTTGAGCAGCTTGCTCGGCCAGTTGCAGTCTCCCTCGCAGACCCCTCTGGGGGTCCGGTCCTTGCGACCTCCTCCACTGTCCTCCCCTGTCCTGCGGTCCTGTCGGGCACACTATTAGGTCTCTACCTCCCCTCGTTCTCTACGAACTTGGTGGTGGGTAGTGCGCTCCAGGACGGGGGTGTCCACCAGTTCACCCCTGCCTACGAGCGTGTGACACACTGCACGTGTGCTCAAACGGGCTGTCACCTCGCTACCTTCACACGGCAGCCGGGGTCGGACCTCTACACACTGACCACTGAGTCCCCTCAGGTAGCTGCGTCTGCGTCTTCGTCAGGTCAGCTGGCGGCCCCCTGCTCGTGTCGCTCTCTGGTGCACGAGACCGTCCTCTGGCACCACCGACTTGGTCACCCGTCCGTGCAGCGCCTTCGGGCCATGCACAAACGGTACCTGGTGTCTGGTCTTCCCAGGGTTCTCCCTCCCCTCCCACCCTCGCCTTCTCCTCCCTGTCTTCCCTGTGTTGAGGGGCGGCAGCGCGGCGCTCCTCACTCCTCGTCGTTTCCCCCGACGACTGCTCCCTTGCAGACGCTCCACATGGACGTGTGGGGCCTAGCCCGCGTCCGTGGTCAGGGTCAGGAGAGGTACTTCCTGATAGTTGTTGACGACTACTCGCGCTACACCACGGTCTTCCCCTTGCGCACCAAGGGTGAGGTCCCTGATGTTTTGATACCTTGGATCCGCGCTTCTCGTCTCCAGCTCAGCAAGCGTTTCCACTCGGACTTTCCTGTCCTGCGCTTGCACTCTGACAGAGGTGGTGAGTTCTCCTCCGACCTCTTGGCAGCCAACTGTGCGGAGCACGGCATCCGCCAGTCGTTCACGCTTACGGCCTCTCCACAGCAGAATGGGGTTGCTGAGCGCCGCATTGGCTTGGTCATGGAGGTCGCTCGTACCTCCTTGATCCATGCGGCTGCCCCCCACTTTGTGTGGCCGTTTGCGGTCCGATACGCTGCGCATCAGCTCAACCTCTGGCCCCGTCTCTCCTTGCTGGAGACTTCCCCGACACTGCGTTGGACGGGAGAGGTTGTCGATGCGTCCCGTTTCCGGGTCTAGGGATCTCGAGCTTTTGTTTGCGATAGGTCCGCGGACAAGCTCTCCTCCCGCGCTGTTCCTTGTGTCTTCCTTGGCTTTGTCCCGGACGCGTCTGGTTGGAAGTTTTACCGCGCCACCTCGCGCCGTGTCCTGCCCTCTCAGGACGTCACTTTTGACGAGGCTGTGCCCTACTAATGCCTCTTCCCCTACCGTACTGCCCCGCTCCCCCCCCCGCCTCTCTTCCTCATGCCACGTGCTGCTGTCGTAGAGCCCCCCCCCCCTCAGGGTGCCGATCCCTCAGGTGTGTCCCAGGTAGACCCGGTTGAGCCTGTCGAGGTAGCTGTCAACTCTCGTCCTGCTAGGGGTGCTTAGCCTGAGCGTGCGGAGCCTGGGTTTGCGGAGTCTGGGAGTGCTGAGCCTGGAGGTGCTGAGCCTGGGGTTGCGGAGCCTGCGGGTGCTGAGTTTGGAGGTGCTGAGTCTGGGAGTGCTACACCTGGAGGAGCTCTCTCCTCACAGCAGCTGCATGAGTGGTACTTATAGTACTACAGCCTGAGGAGAGGTGCTTCTGGATCTAGGAGTGCTGCTGGAGCTAGGGCTAGTGCTTCCCCTCCTAGGCGGGAGCTGCCTTCTCCCCAGCGGCTCCGGGAGTGGTAGGCACGGCGCTGCAGTCTCAGGAGTGGCGCTCCTTGTGCTACGGACCCGGGCGTTGGAGCTGCTGCTGGTCCTGCTGACCCTGGAGTTGGAGCTGCTACTGGTGTTGAGGACCAGGGCGTTGGAGCTGTTACTAGTGCTGCGGACCCGAGCGTTGGAGCTGCTGCGGGTGCTGCGGACCCGGACGTTGTCACTGCTGCTGGTGCTGCTGACCCTGGAGCTGGAGGTGCTACAGGTGCTGAGGACCCGGGCGTTGGAGCTGCTGCTGGTCCTGCTGACCCTGGAGTTGGAGCTGCTACTGGTGCTGAGGACCCGGGCGTTGGAGCTGCTGCTGGTGCTGCGGACCCGGGTGTTGGTGCTGCTGCTGGTGCTGTGGACATAGGAGATGGTGTCTCTTCTGGCTCTGGAGACACTACACGGCCGCGGCCGTACTTTGTTCCGCTCCTTCAGCAAGTTCTTGGTCAGCCTCCTCCTCGTCGTCCTCCTCCCTCCTTAGAGTGTCCTCTGTCTGTCTTGTCGCAGTCACAGCTGCCGCCTGCCTCGCCCCTTCCTGGTCTTCCTCCCTACACTGGTCCGACAAGCGGTCTTACAGAGCGTCGTTAGCTAGAGTGGCTTTCTGTGTTGCCTGTGTCTCGTCCTGCGTCACTTGTTCGTGCTGCTCGCATTGCTAGTCGTGTTCCGCGTGCGCGCCCTCCTGTTGTCCCCGGCACACACTATATGACTCTGCGTCCTTCCACTGCTCCCCAGCGTGTCCCTCTCCCGTCTCCTCCTGCGTCCTCTCTTCCTGCTCTTGCTGACCCGGAGTCTGACTCCCTTCGCGCTACCCATCCTACTGTGACGCGTCTCCTGGCTACTGTTGTCACCGACCCTTCCTTTGAGTCCGCTGCTGCGTCTGCCTTAGTTGCTGAGCTTGTCGACTTTGCTGCCACCTGTCGTCTAGACTACGCTGCTAGCCTAGTTGCTGAGTCTGAGTCTGTCTGTCCTCCGTCTGTCGGGGGTGAGCGTGCTCTTGGCACGAACGTTCTTGAGGACAGGCAGGAGGAGTTTGAGTGTTTTGCCGCTGCTTTACCTCATCTCGTGTCCATGCTAGTTGCCCCCGAGGGAGATCCGGATGCACAAGACATCCCGACTCCTCGATCGTACGCTGAGGCGATCGAGATTCCCTATTCCTCTCAGTGGCAGTCAGCCATGGATGCAGAGATGGCTTCTTGGAAGTCCACAGGTATCTACGTTGACGAGGTTCCCCCACCTGGGGCGAACATCGTCAGTGGTATGTGGATTTTCAGGGTGAAGCGGCCGCCGGGTTCTCCGCCTGTCTTCAAGGCGCGTTACGGTGCACGACGCCTTAGTGAGCGAGAGGGAGAGGACTTCTTCCAGACCTTCTCCCCGACCCCGAAGATGACCACTCTTCGGGTTGTGCTGCATGTCGCCGCTTAGCGTGACTAGGAGCTCCACTCTCTTGACTTCAGCACTGCTTTTCTACAAGGCAGCCTGCACGAGGAAATCTTACTGCGCCGCCCACCTGGCTTCACTGGGTCGTTCCCTCGTGGTACCCAGTGGAGCCTCCGGCGGCCAGTCTACGGTCTCCGACAGGCAGCGCGTGAGTGGCAAGATACACTGAAGACTACACTTGCGGCTCTTGGGTTCGCTCCCTCTACTGCTGACCCGTCGCTGTTTCTAAGCACCGACACTTCGCTGCCGCCGTTCTACATCCTCGTGTACGTCGACGACTTGGTCTTTGCCACTGCTGACACTACGGCACTCGCCCACGTGAAGTCCAAGCTGCAGAAGAGACACACGTGCACAGACTTGGGTGAACTGACAAGCTATCTTGGCTTGCGGATCACCCGGGACAGAGCACGGCGCACCATCACCTTGACTCAGTCACACATGGTGCAGCAGGTCCTTCAGCGCTTCGGCTTTACGTACTCCTCGCCTTAGTCCAGTCCTCTGCCTAGAGGTCACTCGCTCTCAGCTCTGCCTTCGGATGAGTCCGTAGAGCCGAGTGGCCCGTATCCAGAGCTTGTAGGCTGCCTCATGTACCCGATGACCTGCAATCGACCTGACCTTGCATACTCTCTTAGCATCCTTGCACGCTATGTAGCTCCTGGCCGTCACTGGAAGGAGCACATGGATGCTGCTAAGAGGGTGTTGCGCTACTTGTGCAGTACGTCGGGCATGGGGCTAGTGCTTGGAGGACGAGACCGAGTTGTACTCACTGGGCACTTAGACGCTTCTTGGGATGACGACCAGGCTACTCAGCGGTCGTCACAGAGTTACACCTTCAGCCTTGGCTCTGGTTCAGTGTCTTGGCGTTCTACTCGTTCTTCTTTTGTTCTCAGCTCCAGTTGTGAGGCTGAGATCTACGCCACAGCCATGGCTGCACAGGAGTTATGCTGGCTCACCTACCTGCTGACCGGCCTGGGAGAGCGGCCTAGTTCTCTAGTGCTGCACGTTGACAACAAGTCTACCATTGCCTTGTGTGAGGAGCACAGACTGGAGCACAGAACGAAGCATATCGCTCTGCGGTACTTCCTCGCTTGAGAGCTGTAGCAGCGTGGTCAACTTCGTCTGCGTTACGTGGCCACTCGGGCCAATACTGCTGATGTGTTAACCAAGGCGCTTCAGCCGTGTGACCATCAGCGTTTCTGTACTGTTCTCGGCCTTGTGCATACTTTCCCTCACTTGCTCACTTCTTGACTCTGCTTGTACTGTGATCTTTATATATATACCTGCATGCTTACACTTGTTAGGTTGTGATCATTGTATCTCTTGATATATTATCAAACTGCATGTGATTTGGTCTTGTGACCGCTTACTTGTGCTCGGAATTTGTGTGATATCCTTGAGATCCACCTTGAGCTTGTTTTCCCTCGCTTTGCTTTGACTGATCTTGTGACCCCTTGCTCTCCCCCACTTCGCGTATGGGGGTGTGTCAAACATTATATATGTTGTAGTTCGTTAGGCTACAGTGGGTTAGCCTTTAGGGGGTTCACAATTCTAGGTTTAGGTACGTGTACTCACTTCTCTCTCAATTGAATCATGCATTCTCTAACACTAGAGATTCTGCTGCCCCAGGTGCTGGTGAGTCTGCTCTCTTAGGTACCACGTCGGCTCGGGCCTCCCACACCTTCACCCTTGACTCGGGTGCTTCCCGCTCCTTCTTTCGAGACCGCACCACACTCACGCCACTTAGTTGGCCAGTTGCGGTCTCCCTGGCAGACCCCTTTGGGGGTCCTGTCCTTGCCCACTTCTCCACTGTCTTACTGTGTCCGGCGGCCCCTTCTGGCACCCTGTCAGGTCTCAACCTCCCCTCGTTCTCTACGAACTTGGTGAGTGGTGCTGACCTACAGGAGGGGGGGGGGTTGACCAATTCACTCTAGCAAGTCAGCGAGTGACCCACTGCACGTGTGCTCGGACGGGCCGCCACTTGGCCACGTTTACCTGTCGACCAGGGTCGAGCCTGTACACACTGACTACTGAGTCTCCTCTGGTCTCTGCATCTGGTCAGGTAGCTGCGTCAGGTCAGGTGTTTGCTACGATGTCCAGGTCTGAACTGCGGCTGCCCCCTGCTCGTGTCGTCTCCTTTCTCACCAGACTCTCCTCTGGCACCACCGCCTTGGTCACCCCTCCCTGCCTCGTCTCCAAGGCATGGCCTCCCGTGTCCTTGTCTTTGGTCTCCCCCGGTCCCTCCCTCCCCTCCCTCCGGGGCCTGCCCCTACCTGCGTTCCCTGCGTCGAGGGGCGGCAGCGCGCCGCCCCTCACTCCTCAGAGTTTCCTCCGACAGAGGCTTCGCTGCAGACTCTTCACATGGATGTGTGGGGCCCCGCCCGCGTTTGTGGCTAGGGTCACGAGCGTTTCTTCCTGTTGGTGGTTGATGACTACTCGCGTTACACCACGGTGTTCCCCTTGCGCATTAAGGGCGATGTCACTGAGGTGTTGATCGACTGGATCCGCGCAGCTCGTCTCCAGCTCAGAGAGAGTTTCGGCTCGGACTTGTGATCATCAGCGCTTCTGTACGATGCTAGGTCTTGTGCCTACATGGCCTCACTTGCTCACTTCTTGACCTTGCTTGTACTGTGATCTTTCTATACCTGCACTTGCTTGTTTACCTTTATATATGATCTTGCATGTGAACTGGCCTTATGGCCTTTGAACTTGTGCTTGGAATGTGTGGTGACGTTGTGATCCACCCTGAGCTTGCTTTGCTTTGCTTAACTGGTCTTGTGACCTCTTGTTCTCCCCCACTTTGCCTATGGGGGTGTGTCAAACTCATATGCTATAGTTTGTGTAGGCTGTAGTGGGATAGACACTATGGGGTACAACACTTTTAGGTTTTCCTATTTGTACCCACCTGCTTGCTAGTTCATTCATTCCTCATTTCTTCACAAGGGTGTGGCTGGTTTACTAACTACATGACGGTTGGCTGCAGGGATTGTTACTTCAATCCTGCCCGACTCCGATAGTTCGTGTTTTCACTTGCCTGAAGGCCATGGAGACCCGAATTCCCACTTGACGTGTCAAACACTATATATGTGTTATTGCTGTGTAGGCTATAGTGGGTTAGCCAATAAGGGGTACACTACTCTTAGGGTTTCATACTTGTACTGCAATGTTGTCTTGTTCATTCACTTCTCTCATTCTGACATAGTATTACGAGCCTAGGTTAGGAACATAGGACTGTTCCTTCGGGCCCACCGTTTCCGCTCGAAGCGCCCTCGTGCGCCGTCCTTCCTAGCGCCCTTGTGCGCCTTGCCCTCGTGCGCCGTCCTTCCTTGCTCCCTGTGTCGAGGGGCGGCAACGTGCCGCTCCTCACTCTTCCTCGTTCCCTCCCACAGAGGCTCCCCTGTAGACTCTTCACCAGGACGTGTGGGGCCCCGCCCGCGTCCGGGGACAGGGCCACGAGCGGTACTTTCTGCTGGTCGTCGATGACTACACGCGCTACACCACAGTCTTCCCCTTGTGTACCAAGGGTGAGGTCCCTGATGTCTTGATCCCCTAGATCTGCGCTGCTTGTCTCCAGCTCCGCCAGCGGTTCCAGTCGGACTTCCCTGTCCTACGTCTGCACTCTGATAGAGGTGGCGAGTTTTCCTCTGACCTCTTGGCGGCCTACTGTGCGGAGCACGGCATCTCCAGACGTTCACGCTTCCGGCCTCTCCGCAGCAGAATGGGGTTGCTGAGCGCCGCATTGGTCTTGTCATGGAGGTTGCTCGTACCTCCATGATCCATGCGGCCGCCCCCCATTTCCTGTGGCCGTTTGCACTGCAGTACGCCGCGCATCAGCTCAACCTCTGGCCTCGTGTCTGCGTTCCGGAGACCTCGCCTACCCTGTGTTGGACAGCCTTCATGAGGCCATCTGGTTGCGCCGTCCACAAGGCTTCAAAGGGCCGTTTCCTGAGGGTACCTAGTGGAGCCTACGCCGACCAGTGTACGGCTTGCGTCAGGCGCCCCGTGAGTGGCACGACACACTGTGGACGACAATTGCGGCTCTTGGGTTTGCTCCTTCGACTGGTGACCCGTCGCTATTTCTACGCACTGACACTACTCTGCCACCATTCCACATCTGTGTGTACATCGACGACTTGGTTTTTTCTACTGCTGACACTGAGGCACTGGCCCTAGTGAATGCGGAGCTGCAAGAGAGACACACCTGCACTGACTTGGGTGAGCTGCGGAGCTATCTTGGCTTGCAGATCACCAGGGATAGAGCACGGCGCACCATCACCCTGACTGAGTCACACATGGTTCACCAGGTCCTTCAGCGCTTCGGCTTCTAGTTCTCCTCGCCACAGCCCAGTCCTCTGTCTACCGGCCATTCGCTCTTAGCTCCACCTTCAGACGAGTCCGTAGAGCCAAGTGGTCCATACCCACAGCTTGTGGGTTGCGTTATGTACCCGATGACGTGCATACGACATGACCTCGCGTACCCTCTCAGCCTTCTGGCTCGCTACGTGGCTCCTGGTAGACACCGAATGGTGCACTGGGATGCTGCAAAGAGGGTACTGCGTTACTCGTGCAGTACATTGGGCATGGGGCTCGTGCTTGGAGGATGGGGTTGAGTGGTACTCACACGATACTCTGACGCTTCTTGGGCCGACGACCAAGCGACTCAGCGTTCGTCACAGGGTAACACCTTTAGTCTTGGCTCTGGTTTTGTCTCGTGGAGGTCCACTCGTTCTTCTTCTATGCTTGGCTCCAACTGTGAGGCTGAGATCTACGTTGGGGCCATGGCTGCAAAGGAGCTACGCTAGCTGACCTACCTGCTTACCGACTTGGGGGAGTGGCCTCGTTCTCCTCCAGTTCTGTACGTAGACAACAAGGCTATGCTTGCCTTGTGTCTCGAGCATAGACTGGAGCACAAAACGAAGCACATTGCTCTTCGCTACTTCCTTGCATGTGAACTGCAGGAGCGTGGTCACCTGCGCCTTGCTTACGTGGCCTCTCGGGCCAACATTGCTGATGTCTTCACCAGGGCCCTTGGGTCTGGTGATCATCAGCGTTTTTGCACTCTTCTTAGGCTTGTGCCCACTCTGCCTCACCTGCTGGTTGCTTGACTTGCTCTTGTTGTACACTGATATATATATATATATACCTACATGTTTAATCTTTCTAGGTTGTGATCAGTGTACTGCCTTGCTATTATAACTCTGCATGTGAACTGGCTTTGTGGCCGCTTGCTTGTGCTCGGATTGTGTGGTGTCCTTGAGATCCACCCTGAGCTTTGCTTTGCTTTGTTCTCCTGCCTGACTGGTCTTGTGACCGTCTGTTGTGTTTGCTATCTCCCACTTAGCCTATGGGGGTGTGTCAAACTGTATGTTTGTGTTATCTCTAGGCTATAGTGGGTTAGCCTACAAGAGGTACAACACTCTAGGGTTAGGACTACTTGTACTGCCCTTTCTTCTCAATACAATCATTCGTGCCTGCTTATTCTAACACTTGGTACACCAACCAGGAACGCGAGGAAACCCCCCGCGAATGGAAAGAATGGAGCAGAATGGGATGGAAGCCTAGATGGCAGGTAGCACGGCTAGGCGGCGTGGATGCATCAGTGCTTGCCAGCACGACAAGCCCTACAATCTCAGGAAATTTTCCCCGAAATTCCTCATTTTCAACCTAGTTTTGTGTACCTACACTAATTTTCCAGTGTTGAGATTTTTGTAAAACTGAATTTTTCAGCCTTTGTTTCATATCTAACACTTATTTTTTACTTCTATTGAAGTGTACACTGAATGCACATTCTGAAAAGGGCTCGGGCTAGGTTTTTGGCCGGTCTGAAATTTGTTTTGGAGAAAACTTTTTGTCTGAAGGAAATACGAGCAATCTTAGATGATCTGTCTTTTCAGATGAAACAATGACACTTGTCTGATTTTTTCGACTAAAGATATACACTTGTCTGATTTTTCTAATGGATAACCTTTTCAGATTCAAACCAAAGTTTTGAATGCAGTGGCGGCAGAAGGAATCGAACCTTGACCTTTGTCACGAGTACCAAAACAGCGGGGGACTAAGCTTCTTCACGCAAGAAAGTTATGACACCAATTTAA